TGGAGATTATTTTAGGATGATGGTGTTCTCTGCTGGTGGATGCGCCTGCATCTACCGGGCTTGCCGTCCAGATCCGCCAGAGGGCAGCACAGGTGCTGCAAACCCAACCGGTCTGAGCTGTATTTACAAATCCTATTCTCTAATGGAAAGCTGCTGGATCCAATTTGTACCTTGTACAACACAACGACTACATAAACCTCAAAGAGAAGTCAGCTGATCCTGGCAGCTGAAATAGTGTCTTTCTCCTATACTGGAAACAATTTGGGGACTGTTGTCCTCAAACGCAACACTGCACTTCGTGGTTATTTTCAACAAGAAAGACCTGTGACCAAATGGAAATATACGATGTTGAATTGTCAACATGCAGACAGACACAATTTGCTGGAGAAGCATTTGAGAGTGAATCTACTCTAGAAAGTCAGATAAAATGTTCAGCATAAAAATGGGTTTTTGCTTTGAAACCTTGGGAACCAACAAGCATAAGCAACCTCTGAACTCCAGGAGAATAAACAAAATTGACAGTGAATCTTTCTGTCTCCCGGCTGCTAAAGACAAAGAGAACATCACTAATACAGTGCTTTTAATTCTCTCAGCCGTGATACCATCCACAATGAGATTGTGTAAAAGAGGAAGTATGTTTCAGAAATGAAATAGGGAAAACTCTTATATAGAAAAATATGTTAACGTTAGCAAAATGAAATCTGATTACGGAACACATCCGAGGTTAGAATATAATTTCACTAATTCTATGGCCAATGAGGAATTCTATTAATCTAGGCTTTGTTATAAAGAATAAGTATGTGTAATCGCTAGTTCAGATTACAACTCACCCTCCAGCAGGCATTTAACAGCTTACAGAACATAGGAGGAATGACAGAAATGTGTATTGCGGGGAGGGAGATTGGAGAACCATGCTCAAAGTATGTGTAGAATCAGGCCACTATTTCTACAATCATGAAGCAAATTGAAAAATTAGGAACCTGGTAATAATGTCAGTCTCTAAGAACATTTAGGCAACACAATCAGGAAGTCACCACAATTACAAAACTGCCACCTCACGGAAGCCTCCCCAAATAACACACCAGTGAACATCAAGACTGCTCATAGCATCTGAGTTCATGCCACAGCACAGCTGATACACACCAGCACAACTGATGTCCCCCGGCGAGGTTGTCAACATCCACGAAGCTAGCAATCACACACTGTACCATCCCATCACGTCCCCATGGAAACGTCAGATGCTTATGAACCATTCCTGCCTTTTCTTTGGTGAGAAAATTCAAAGGCAGTTTCTCTTTTGCCTTGCCAATCACATTGATTCTCCCAATCCTACTTGGAAAATTTTCTGGAAAATACAGAGGCGGTTTGTTTGTTTGTTTGTCTGTTTGTTTTTACTTTACAGCTTCTACAGTAAAGAATGGCACACTAGGAAGGGTAGGGATGGATGTGGGACATCAGTCTACTTTGCTTTCACTGGCAACACCAACTAAATGATCTTAAAAGAAAAGCACAGGCTTGAATTTTGTATGTATTGAGTTTGTAACCATAGAATGGATCTTAAACCAATTTGACTAACAATATTATTACTCTAGCCTTGAAGTATCTAACAATATTATTATTACTCTAGCCTTGAAGTATCTATAGTTCTCAATCCCTAGTTTCTGTTGGAGCTAGCAGTCGCTTGTGATTGACTTCTTTTGGGAACTGGTGATATATACATTGACCTCTGTTAGACTTTTCGCCAGTGTGGCAAGACACCTGAGAACACCACTTAATTTTGCTCATGGTTTCAGAAGTCTCACTTCATTATGACACAGGGGAGGGGATATGGCGCAGCAGAACACACATACCAGAGACACCAGAGAGGAGAGAAAGCATGCCTAGCTCATAGCCCTCCCTTTCCCCCCTCTTGTTCTATATGGGTACCCCGTGTGTGGGATGGTACCACCTACTTTCAGAGGGAATCTTTTCCCCTTAGCTAATGTGTTCTGTAAATTTTCTCATAGACACATCCAGAATTGTCCTTTGGTAATTTATGTGCTCCACAATCACTTGTCAATAAAGATTCACAACCTCAACTGAGTGTGGTGGTGTACACCTCTGGTCCCTGCAGAGGCAGACAGATCGCTGTGAGTTCCAGATCAAACAAGCTACATAATGAGACCCTATACTAGTAGTATCAATAAAAACAGACTGGAAATGAGACTACATGACTAGGCTACCTTAATGCCCTTTCCCGATAATGAGATTGACAACTACCTTGTATGCCATCCTAGAGCCTTCATCCAGTGGCTGATGGAAACAGGGGCAGACACCCACAGCTAAACACTGGACTGAACTCCTGGAATCCAGTTGCAGAGAGGGAGAAGTGATGAGCAAAGCGGTCAAAACCTGACTGGTGAAACCCACAGAAACAGCTGATCTGAACAAGGGGGAGCTCATGGACCCCAGACTGATGGTTGAGAGGCCAGCATGGGACTGATCCAGATCTTCTAAATTTGGGTATCAGTGAGGAGGCCTTGGCAATCTATGGGGCCTCTGGTAGCAGATCAGTATTTATCCCTGGCATACAAATGAATTTTGGAAGCCCATTCCACATGGAGGGATGTTCTCTCAGCCTGAACACACTGGGGAGGGTCTAGTCCCTGCCCTGGATGATATGACAGACTTTGGAGACTCTCTATAGAGGGCCTCATCCTCCCTGGGAAACAGAGTGGGGATTGGGTGGGGGGTTGGGGACCTGGGAGAGCAGGGAAGAAGGGGAGGGAGAGAGGGCTGGGATTAACATGTGAAGCAAACTTGTTTCTAATTTAAATTAAAAAAGACTATGTAACTAATAACTCATTCATGTATTCCACCTTGTTAAAATTAAAGCTGTTTTTTCCAGTTACTTGTTATAAACAGCGTGTGTGTGTGTGTGTGTGTGTGTGTGTGTGTGTGTGTGTGTGTGTGTGTGTGTGTGTTTGAAGACAAGCTTTTTCTGTGTAACACTGGCTGTCCTGGAATTCATTTGCCTACCAAAGTGGTCTAAACTAAGCAATTCTCCTGCCTCTGTCTCCTGAGTGTTGGGATTAAAGGCATGTGTCACCACGCCCGACAACACAATTATATTCAATGCCAATATCTTTTAAATCTATCGCAATGAATCACGATGCATGTGATAATAAATCAATAAATAGTTCAGAAACTAAGAAACACTGGATGAGGACTGGACATTTCTATTGAGGCTTGCTAGCTTGAGCAATGCTAATAAGCAGATAGTATCATTCCCAGTAACAGAAAGATTTCACCAGGCTCTTGAAAATGAGTAAGACATTACCAAATAGATAACAGAGAGAAGGGCATGCGAGCACACAGTACAGGGAGCTATGAGCAGAAAGACCAAAGGACTTTGAGCCATCTAGGAGCAAGAGTAATGACTATAGCAGCAGGTACTTTATTATAAAAGACTTTGATTGGATATGTTGCTAGTGCCACAAATATTTAGGGTTCAATAAAAGTTGAAAGAAGAAATCTCAAAAGAAGTGAGGACCTACTAGACACTATGGAAGTGTGTTCATTAGTTTGCATTTCACTTGAGTGAGTAAAGAAAAATAAAGGGGACTATTCAGTACATTTGATCTATCTGTAATAGGATTTCTACTGCTGAAGTGCCAAGGTACAGTGATGTTGGGAATATGGACAGGTCTAACTGGCTGATAATGCTTGAGACAGATTAACTATTAAGATAATGTTTAACTTTGGAGTTTTGAAATAGTTGGGGGAGATGGTTAAAGAAGACATCATTGGTATATTAAGGATTAATTTTACTTACAAATCCACAGACCAAAAGAACCTCCTTGTTTGATGAACTAGGTTTGGTTTTTTTTTTCTGTTTTAAAAGGAGAAAAAAGACCTAGGTAAGTAGATGTTTACTTAACAGGGAACTCAGCAGGTCCCTGTCTGGGCCTGCTGAGATGACTGCTGAGATGACTCAGGAGGTTAAGGGTCATGCTGCCAAGCATAAGAGCTTCTGTTCACCGGGCGGTGGTGGCGCACGCCTTTAATCCCAGCACTCGGGAGGCAGAGGCAGGCAGATCTCTGTGAGTTCGAGGCCAGGCTGGACCGACAACCTCCAAAACAATACAGAGAAACCCTGTCTCGTTAAAAAAAAAAAAAAAGAACTTGCATTCATTCAATACTCGAGCCCCACATTGTAAAAGGAGAGAACCAATTGCCAGAAATTGACCTCTGCCCTCCACACAAGCACTGTGGCATGTGCACACATAAGCTGAGTGTGAACTCACACACGTGCATGCACACTAAATAAATGTCAAAAAATTCCTTTCTGTAGTTTTCTTGGAGGCCATCTTTCTCTTTCCTATGAAACTCTATGGCCACAACTAGGCCTGGTGTCACAAACCCAGCACTTTGGAGGCAGAAGTCAGTGGATCTCTGAATTTGAGACCAGCCTGGTCTCCAAGAGTAGAATTTCAGACCAGTCATGGCTACAAAATGATACCTTGTTTTAAAACAAAAAATAAAAACTCTCTATAGTATATATATATATATATATATGCATATGCATATGTATATATATTAATTCTAGTGGATATTCTATCCAATAGAATCAATACAATAATATTCAATAAATATAGTTTATTTTAGTCATGTCTTTTAGAAATAAAGACAGAGAGCAGTAAACAGTAATAGAATCTGGAAAAGCCAAACATGCCTCTGGTGTCTGTCCCCTAGCCCACGGTGCCTGCACCTGTTCCTTTCATCCTTAGATGATAATCTGCTGTTTATTTTGCTACCATGAAACTACGCACATGAAGCCTGTAACGAGGTTGTCTTTTAAATTGGTCTGTGCCTGATCTTTCTTACGGGGGGGTGGACGGGACACGACGTGCGTGTGCGTGTGTGTGTGTGTGTGTGTGTGTGTGTGTGTGTGTGTGTGTGTGTGTGTCCTGTTGGTGGTTAAAAAGCTAGTTGGGACTTCCTCTTTGAACAGTTGCCTCTCCTCTCACACAACGGAGATTTCATCTTGTCTGAGGGTGGATACAACTGAAAGTGAACTGAACTTTGCCAAGGCCACGGGCATGATGGCTAAGAAGCCCCCGAAACCAGCGCCCCGCAGGATCTTCCAGGAGAGGCTGAGGATCACTGCTCTGCCTCTGTACTTTGAAGGGTTTTTGTTAGTCAAACGGTCTGATCACCAGGTAAGTCAATAGATGAGAACTTTAAACCAGAACGTCCTCACTTAATGTAAAATTTGCTTCATGACAATGTCTCCTTGTCTCTGTCTGGATTATACCCTCTTCCCTGAGTGAAGAGAATGATTCCAATTTTGAATAGCTTAAATACAATGAACACTTTAAACATATAGTATATTTAAATATATATAAGCTGGCAATATATATGCATATACAAGCATATATAATAAGGTCTTTAGTATTTAGCCATAATAGAAAAACTCAGTGAAATTTCCAAAAGATTCTTCTAAGCATCACATAAGATTTTAGCTTGCAAGATAATTTTTTTTATGTTTTCTCAACAATTAACTACTATGCTTCAATGGTGATGAAGTACATGAAAAGAAAGTGATTTTATGATAAAATTAACCTGCTCCTACTCTCATTCATACTGAAGTGTATAATGACCAAACTGTAATAAACATTGTGAAAATTTGATATTTACTTAATATTGTTTCATTATGCATTCTGAAAATACTGTTCACAATGCTGGCTTTAAAAGAGAGCATTTAGGGTGTTATTGTGAATAGTGAATATACTAATTTTGTTTTTAAAAAAGTACTTTTGCTCTATGAAAACTCACAAAGTATTCCACATATTTTTAAATGTAAAATCTCAAATTATAGTTATCAAAAGTACTGCTTTTAAAGTTGTAATTGTGGACAGCATAAAATTAATAATTAATTAGAAAAACGAACACAAAATTATGTTACTAAGAAAGTAAAGAAATCATTGGTGTAAATAAATTTTTATGAAATGTTAACATTGGCTGAAGCCAGCAAAGTTTTAAGTGTTTACAGAAATAACAATAAGTGTTCAGTGATGATAAATCAAGGTTTTAGAGGATTCATTAACATTCATGGAAAATTATGAATATGAGAATACTGTAACAGTATATTCTTTTTTTTTTTTTTTTTTTTTGGTTTTTCGAGACAGGGTTTCTCTGTGGCTTTGGAGGCTGTCCTGGAACTAGCTCTTATAGACCAGGCTGGTCTCGAACTCACAGATATCTGCCTGTCTCTGCCTCCTGAGTGCTGGGATTAAAGGCATGCGCCACCAACGCCCGGCTAACAGTATATTCTTATTTTCTATATATACAATTTTAAAGACATTTGCCATTCGAAAGTCAGGTTGTAATTCTTGTTGTAGGTGTTAAAACATTTCTTAGTAAATTTTCAAGCTGTTTTGGAATTTTTATTGTTGTTGTTATTAATCACTCACAGTTTAGCAACATGGTTTTACTTCACCAACAATGGATAACAGAGAAAGTAAATTACTAGTTGGTAATTTAAATTTGATCATTCACTGACTGTCTTTCCAGAGTGTCTCTAATAACTGTGCCTGATACCAAGATCTTCAGGTGTCCAAAGAAGGCATGTGTGGGCATGGTTAGCAAACATAATTCCACAATGTTAGAGTAGCCATAACACCATGTCTTTACTTGATGGTTTTCCACATATACCTTGTGATCTTGTGAAAATTACTCCATCATCTCCCCTGGACTCAGTTTATTCACTGCAAAGAGAAAAAAGATTCTACTTTGACTAGCATAATAAATTATTATTATTATTTGTATTGTGTTCCTTATTATTTCTGGGATAAGAAAGTGCATACTGAATCAATTTATTTTTCAAACAGCATTTATTGTACAGCTTAGTAGCTGTTAAAATTTCTTATATAACTCCTACTGTGGTTTTTCTTAGAAAGCATGATTTAAAACAGAATGAACTACAATCTAGCATTTCTCGTAAGGGCTGGGAATCTAGCTAAATGGTAGAGCACTTGTCTAAGACGCATCAGACCCTGTGAGCATGGAAATGTAAATAATTGTGATATGTGTATAAGAGAAAACCAATTTATTTACCCATTTGAGTTCATTACCAAGTCCCTTTCTCTTGTGTACTAAGCAGGGGAGGAACTAGAGAATGGTAGCAATGTCAAGGCACGTGATGGTTTCCAAGATGGAAATGATAACTATATAAAACACCAGCTTCCCACATAAGATTAGATTCGTTTTCTTCCGATTTACTTATTTGCTTGCTAGAATCCTAAAGTCAGTTTGAGGTCTATAAATAAAATTGCTCAAAGGAACTCCATAGTTGCTCACAGACATAAACATAGAAGTGATGAGAGAAGCACTAGAGGAAAAAAGTGGGATTTCCCCATAACTAAATGCCAGGCAGCGTTTAGAAGCAAGGTGAGCTGAGAACATTGCTGCCAAGTCAGCTGTGGAGTTCATGGCACAAATGACATGGAGAGGCCATGCAGAGGTCCCTGCTGAAAACAAATTCAGAAGATTAAGATGGAGAAAGCATTGTTTAAGAACAACATGTGTAGTAAAGAAATTACAGGGCAAGACACTCTCATTGCAAGGGTTATTATTTTTATTTCTCTCATACATTATATCCCAACCACAGTTTCCCCTCCCTCCCCTCCCCTTGCCTCCTCACTCCATCTCCCCTTTCCCCAGATCAACACGCCCTCTGTTTCCCCTCAGTAAAGAGCAGGCCTCCCAGTGACATCAAACAAACACAGCATAACAAGTCACAATAAGACCTGACATAAACCATCATTTCAAGGCTGGATGGACCAGGCAACCCAGTTCAAGAAAAAGGATTGCACACAGTTGTTGGAATCACTTTAAAAGAAAATGCACCAATATATGCTAACTTTAATACAATTCTAGAAGGACCCTGAATTTCAGGTCAAGAAGCTATGAAAAGTATCTTTCAAGGGAAAGATATGGGAAGATTTACTTGAACTGCAGCATTAGGATTTTATATTGACTAAGAAGACGTATTCAAAAATTAAAACACAATCAAATACAAAATGCATCACAGTTTTTGTAAACCGGAAAAAAAAGTCAGCTTTCCTAGAAATTTAAATACATGAACATTCATACAGCAGCCCATTGTCCTTTTGATCTGTGATGTACCCAGCTTTAAAGAATGCAACATGTCCTCTTAGCCTGAACATGATGATGTCATCATCAGAATGTACCCAAGTGTCACTTCTCTGATGGCCCTTATATTTATGAAGCTTTTCGTATTACATCAGTTGTGTCCTGAAACACAATACTCTATACCATAAAACTCCAAAATTTTAAAATAGCATGCCTATTCCAGGAAAACATTTGGAACATAGATATCCAGTATGAGAACTATGACAATATGAACATATGTACCCCTTTATTAATATTCTATGTAAGTTATTGAACATATACAAAAGGAACTAAGAAGAAATAGATCAATATAAGTAGGTATTCTGCTAGTTTCCCAAAGGATCTTCTTGTACATTTTAGGTGTGTGCATGTCACTAATGGTTATGATCCCTAAACAACGCACCTATATTTCAGCTGCTTCTACGGCACTCTCCATTTTCGCTGTCTCAGATCCAAAATACAGAATAGCTTTGACCTACTCATTTCATTATGGAGGCTTACTGACAGAGCAGAGGATGAAAGTGCCCCGCCCAATAACTACCACCAAAAGTAGGGTAAATCAAATACGCCAACTTCTCAGATGAAATTTCTTTGGTTATTACCCATGATCATTCAGGCTTTTCCAACAGTGCCAAACACTACTCAATACCATCAAGTTTAGAGAAGCCCCAACTGATGGAGGGGCCAGTACATGTTAGCAACCTCTGAAGTGAAATTTGTCACTGAAGGTTTAAAAACATCTCCCGATGTAAGAAAATAACTTACGACCTGAGAGTTGGCTCAGTGGAAAAGAGCACTTGCCATCAACACTGCTTACCCAAGTTTGAGCCCAGAAACCCACATGGTAGGAGAGAATGGACTTCCATCCGGCAAACTGTCCTCTGACCCCAACATGAGCACTATGGTATTTATGTTCGTACCATGTATACACACACACACACACACACACACACACACACACACACACACAGGGAGGAAGGAAGAAAGGTTGGCTGGTTTTTAAAAAATTAAAAGGAAACCTTTAGGAATGATTTTGTGCAGGAATAACTATTTATTTCATTATTCTATTCTTTAGACTCTATTCTTAGACTCTCCCACAGTCTCATTGAACTGTACCTATTATTAGGCATCGATAAACCATGTCAGCATTCCCTCAGATAACAACACACATCACTACATTTGAAAAAGCATCACTGGCTGGAGAGATGGCCCAGTGGTAAGGAGCACCACCCGCTGCTTTTCCAAAGGATGCGGATTCAGCTTCCAGCACCCACATGGTGGCTCATAACCATCTGTAACTCCAGTTCTGTGGGATCTGAAGCCCTGTTCTGGCATTGAAGCACCAGACAGACACACAGGCAGGCAAAACACCCATACATATACTATCTGTTTATCTTGCTTTTTTGTTTGATTGTTTTTGAGACAGTCACTCTGTGTAGCCCTGGTTTGTTCTGGAACTTACTCAGTAGACCTGACACTCAGAGATCCACTTGCTCTGCCTCCAGAGTGCTGCAATTAAGGGCATGCACCACCACAGGCCCTAGGATATATACCATTTGTAAAGAGTGTCACCCAGGTAATGGAAAATGCAAAGCACCCGTCAATACCATGACTATCAAAGCAATGTGCTGGTTTGTTGTTGTTCAAGTGGTGAACACTTAGTAACGTTTGCTATGTTACAGCTCCTGTGTCCTTAGATGCACTGTTATTACACCAAATCTTCAACAACTCTGTGAAGCAACAACAACCAACTACTTCTATGCTCTGTCTCCTATTAGTGAACTGTCACACAGCATACCTAATGACAATTGTGGTTTTAAAAATATCCACAACTGCTGGGTGGTGGTGGAGTACACCTTTAATCCCAGCACTCAGGAGGCAGAGGCAAGTAGAACTCTGTGAGTTCAAAGCCAGCCTGGTCTACAGAGTGAATTCCAGGATAGCTAGGACTACACAGAGAAACCCTGCCTGGAGAAACAAAATTCACAAACCAGTAAGTCATTATTGCTATTTCCAAAATAAACAAATCACTGTGTGTGAGCCTTTCTTCGAGGTCTTGATTAAAGGGAAAAGGGAACTTAAATTCTATGTCCTTGTGCAGGAGTGGACTTGGCAAGGCCAGTCCAGGGCTGTGTTTTTGGAGACACAACTCTTCCCCATTGGCTCTGGTCACCAGTCTTTAGGCATCTGTGTCTGAGGCATCCCGTGTTCTCTTTGCCAACATTGTCTGACTTAGCTCTCTGCTGACCTTGGACATTTTCCCCATACAAAGACTATATATGATGCTGACTATTTTTGTTTTGTTTTGTTTTTCGAGACAGGGTTTCTCTGTAACTTTGGAGGCTGTCCTGGAACTAGATCAGTGGACTGGGCTGGCCTCAAACTCACAGAGATCTGCCTGTCTTTACCTGCTGAGTGCTGGGACTAAAGGTGTGCGCCACCACCACTCAGCTGATACTGTACTTTTTAATAAACACACATGGTCTGTCATCAGCTTATACAAGACCTCCCGGTCACAACTAGTGCTTTTGTCTTCTTTGTTTCTTGTCTGTTCCAATTTTCATGCCCAGTCATCCTGCTTGACACCTTGCCATCCAGGGTCCTTATTTCTGCAGGTTCGAACCACCACTATATGAAGAAGTTCCACAAGCAGCTGCCCGTCTCTCTTCCCCCAACTTTAAATGTTTGTGACCTTCCATTGTGATTTTTCTTCTCACAAGTTTTAAACCAAACAGGTTCATGAATTATATAACTAAGGGTATTACCTACTTTTATTACTGATAAACTCGACCAATGTGTGGTTTAGTAGTATGCCTAAGCAGTTAACCCTGCATCTTAGAGTGAACCACGTTGTGTCACTGACACAGCTTGAAAGGCCCCAGCCTAGACTTCTCAAAGATCCTTTGCTACCTGATAGGAAATGGAGCAGAACACCCATTGTCTCCAACCAGCCAAGGCTGAGAGATGACCAGAAGGGGTAAGCTAAGCATCCTGCCTCCCAACCTCACCTTTTTGATACTCAGTCCTACTCGAATCAGAGACCAGACATTCTGGCAGCATTCATTAGTGAAGACTAAATGGGAGAGTGTATAAAAATAGCAGGGTCCAAAAACAGGTCTATTGTGGTGACAAGAAACTTCATGTCCTCTATGAACAGAAGGAAGACATTTCTGATGGGGTCTTAATTAAGCTTTGTTTTCTTACTAATCTACTGGACTCTAAGATGTATCAACCACGGCACACATGGGGCATTTAGACTTTAGGAACCTCTTCCCTCTGTTTTGTAATCACCTTTTAGGAAGGCTCTTTTGGCTGACACCTTAGTTGCATCCATAGACCTATTATATCAGCTCTCAATTGTGGGTTCATTGGAGTGGAAAAATCACCTACTATGGGCAAGGATACCTCTACCCAAGTTTCAACTCTATGTTGGTGGTATATTGCTGCAGTAATGCTATCATTTTATTTAAACTTACCATGTATACACACCACTGAAGTATAACTTGTGTCTTTTTCCCCACAAATAAGGTGAATCTACTTCTCTACCTTTTGCATTTTGACCATGTCATGGACCATGCTTAGATAAATACAAAAAAGGCAGAAATTTATGTTAATAGCATGCTTGTTGAGGATTGAGAGATGGTTCAGTGGTTAAGAACATTTACTACTCTTGCAGAGGACCTGGGATGAGTTTCTAGCATCCACCTTTCACTCCAGATCCAGGAGATCAAACCCTCTTCTGGTCTCTGTGGGCTCCTGAACACACATAGTGGACACACACGCAGACACACACACACACACACACACACACACACACAGACATGCATGCATGAAGTTTAAAAATGAACAAGTATGCTTTCACATTGGGCTTTACTCACTCTTATGGAAAATGCTTTAACTTTCATTTTTAAGATTTAATTTTAATTATGTGCATGTGTGTTGTCCATGTGTGGGTATGTCCAACATGGATGCTGGTGACTGAATCATTTCTTCTTCTTCTTCTTCTTCTTCTTCTTCTTCTTCTTCTTCTTCTTCTTCTTCTTCTTCTTCTTCTTCTTCTTCTTCTTCTTCTTCTTCTCCTCCTCCTCCTCCTCCTCCTCCTCCTCCTTCTTCTTCTTTCTCCTTTCTCCTTTCTTCTTCTAATTCTTCCCTCTTCTTATCCTACTTTTTTGGTTTCTCAAGATAGGTTTCTCATGTAGCCATGGCCTTCCTGGAACTTGCTTTGTAGACCAGGCTGGTCTCAAACTGAGGGATCTACCTGTCTCTGCCTCCAGAGTGCTGGGATTAAAGGTATGTACCACCCAGCTAGTAAGCATTCTTAACTACTGTAGTCTCTAGACCATTTCTGGGAATGCTTATGAAAGTATGTGAATGAAGTTTGGACAGGGTGTAGTCAGGAGGCATGTAGATCTCTGTGAGTTCAAGGACACTCTGGCTTACACAAGAGTGAATCAGTCTAAAAGAATCACAGAGTTCATGTCTATAATTCCAGAAATACAAAGGTGTATAAGGAAGAAGCATAGGGTCTCATGTGAGATTCAGTTTCCAGTCACAAGGAACATAGGATCTCCATTTCATCCTTGGTAGAGCTAAGAGCTACTGTCTGGCTGCTTTGCTTTTTTGATCTTCAACTTGAACCCCAATATCTGTCTCTAGGTTTTTATTATTCATGCTACAGAGAAGAATTTCAGAAATCATATAGTTAAGCACAAGTCAAACACCATATTGAGATAAATTTGAAAAGGTTTCAATCCAGAATTAACTGCAGGGCTGCAGAAATGACTCAGTGGTTAAGAACACTAGTTGCTTTTCCAGACAACTTAGTTCAATTCCCAGCACACATATTATGGTTCATAACTGTAAGACCAATTCCAGGGAGTTAAGTGCCTTCTTCTGGCCTTCAGGGATGCCAGGCATACATGCGGTGCTAATAAAACACATGTGGGGCCGGGCGTTGGTGGCACACGCCTTTAATCCCAGCACTTGGGAGGCAGAGGCAGGCGGATCTCTGTGAGTTCGAGGCCAGCCTGGTCTACAGAGCTAGTTCCAGGACAGTCTCCAAAAACAATACAGAGAAACCCTGTCTCAAAAAACCAAAAAACAAAACAAAACAAAAAAAAAACACATGTGGGTGAGAAAATGCTCATACATATAAAATAGATATATCTAATTTTAAAAAGCAGTCAACTACAAAATAAAGCATTAAAATATGGATGAACTTTAAGAATGCTATACAATGAAATATGTATTTATAATTTAAAAGAATTTATGGACAGGTTGGAGAGATGGCTCAGAGGATAAGAGCACTACCTGCTCTTCCAGAGGTTCTGAGTTCAATTCCCAGCAACCACATGGTAGCTCTCAACCATCTGTAATGAGATCTGGTGCCCTCTTCTGGCCTGTGGGCATACAAACATATGCTGTATACATAATAAATAAATAAATGTTTAAAAAAAAGATTTTATGGGCAAAAAAATTAAGTGAATAGCAGGTATGATGGTATACACCTTTAATCTCAGAACTTGCCGGGCAGAGGCAGGCAAATCTCTGTGAGTTCAAGACTAACATGGTATACATAGCAAGTTAGCAAGTTGCAGGCCAGCAGAGCTTTTTAGTAAGATCTTTTATCAAAAAGAGAAAGAAAGAAAAGAAAGGAAGAAAGGATGTGTGTGTGTGTGTGTGTGTGTGTTTGTAAAATGGCTCAGTGGTTAAGAGCACTTCTTGCTCTGCCAAAGGACCTGGGTTCAGTACCCAGCACCCATATCAGGCAGTTTACAACTCCTGTAACTCTAGTTTCCAGGCAAGACCCTCTTCTGGCTTCACTTTGCCGCTGCACCCGTGTTGTGCTCTCAAGAGTACACACACACACACACACACACACACACACACACACACACACCTAAAGTAAATAAATTTTAAAATTAGCCAAACTATGAAGGATAAAGAATAACTTTATATTATATGATTACAAAAGATAAAACAGAAAATAAAAAAGTTGGATGTGTGCTTATGAAACCTTGTTTATAATTTCCTTCTTCCCACAGGAGTACAAACACTATTGGACAGAGTTGAGAGGAACCACACTTTTCTTCTACACGGACAAAAAAAGCACAATAGTAAGTAGTTTGACACGTTGACCTGGTTCAGTTTTTCTTTTTTATTATTATTTTTTAAATAGCTTGTTTTACATGTCAATCCCAGTTCCCTCTCCCTCCCCTCCTCCAGCACCCCCCATCCCCCCCAGCCTCCCACCCTATCGTCATTTCCTTCCACATAGGGGATATCTAGAGTCTGTCATTTCACTCAGGGCAGGGTCCAGGCACTCCCCTAAGAGTCCAGGCTGAGAGAGCATCCCTCTTTGTGTTATGGACACACGAAGTCTGTTTGTATGCCAGGGACAAACACTGATCCACTGCTTATGGCCCCATAGGTTGCCCAGGCCTCCTCATTGACTCACACTCAGGGGGTCTGGATCAGTCCCATGCTGGCCTTCCAGCTGTCGGTCTGGAGTCCAAGAGCTCTCCCCTGTTTAGATCAGCTGACTCTGCTGGTTTTGCCAGCCCATTCTTTGCCAATTTGCTCATTGCTCCTCTCTCTCTGTCACTGGGTTCCAAGGGTTCAGTTCAGTGTTTAACTGTGGGTGTTTGTCTCTGCTTCTATCAGTCACAGGATGAAGGCTCCAGGATGGTTATAAACATCAAGTTCATTATCAGGAATGGGCATTCGAGGTGGTTTCTCCACTATTGCTTAGCTTGCCAATTGGTGTCATCCCTTTAGATCACTAGAGGTCACACTGGTGCCTGATCTGTCTTCTAACCTTTGATTCCCTCTTCCCCCTATTCTACCCCCCACTCAACCTTCCTGTTCCCCCATGACATACTCTCTCTTCCTTTTCTCCCCCTCTCTTCTTCCCAGCTCCCACTCCCCCCCACCCCTTGCCGTGTTCCCCATCTGTTCAGAAGATCTTGCCTCATTCCTCTTCTCTTGGGACCATGAGCATACAATTATCCATTTTCCTTCTATCACCCCAAAATAAAGTTGTTAAAAATGTAAATCTGAGAGCCCCATAAATTATCATGGGATCAGAGTAACAATTCCATGAACAATTCAAAAGGTAGTAACTCATGATTTTAACTTCTTGTTCTTATCTACCTGATGTAGATAATAAAAACTTAAAAGTAGAAATTTTATTACTCCAGTATAAACTGCTTAATGCAAAACACTAGCTTCCGTTTTTTGCAAGTCTTAGCACACTATGGAATTGGAATGTAATCATAATCTGAAAGGGACAAGATGATTTTCATAGCATCATAACATACGATGTCCTAATTTAATTTTTCTAGACAAAAACATAACCTTTAACAGCAGACTCCTAAGAGCTATATAGTATGAGAATTATGATGAAGTAATTCTTCAATTAATTCTTTGCAGACTAAGCATTTTAGTGTATATTGCAACTTCCCAGTGACATCAGGAAAGCAAAGACTCTGGCCTAAACCTTGTGTGACTTACAGAAATCATGTTCACTTATTACTTCAAGAGGCAGTACAGTTTTGTGACCGAGAGCCTGGTATGCCCAGAAAAATTGCCTGGTTTGTTAATGCTGGCCTCACTGTTGTTAACTGCGATCTGTGACTCAGTGTATAAAAAGGGGCATGGTAGAAAACAGAGGACATCTCAAATTGGGCAATTTGAAGAATGTTTAATAAACTTCTTATAGGTATTCAAAGCAGTGGGCAGAATAGAAAGAAGTCCGGTATCTGAAGCTAAAAATAGTGCAGAATTGCCACAGGAGGTGTGGGAGGAAGGAGTGGGAGATCTTGTGATGCTTAAGGGAAGTATGACACTTGATCGAGGGCGGGAGCAACTACTCAGGGTGCTAAACACCATCCTCACTCTGGCCTCCTGTTGTAGGTCCCCAATGGTTCAACTGAACGCAAAGCCAAAGGATGGGGCTAACTCTGACACAATAGACATCCTCCTGAAGCAGTGTTGGGAGGTCAAAAAATACAATTGAATCTGCGGGAACAAATAATAAAGAGACACACAGGAAATTTCCAATACTCCCGTTTCTCAAATCTCTGGATTTAGATAAAATTCATAGTCTATCTCATAATGCTATAAAAATAATCAAGTGAGACAGGACATAAAAGGATTTCAGTCAGTAGACTACACAGTAAGCACTTACATTGTTTACACATACATACACACACACAAACACACACATTATTTAATTCCTACAAAAACTCTATAAATTTGCATTCTGGTTTTCATTGTTATGTTTGGATATATATATATATATATATATACTTTTATTTAAATTAGAAACTGTCTTATTTTACATATCAATCCCAGTTCCCCCTTCTTCCCATCTTCCCATGCTCCCCAGTGACTCCCCTATCCCACCCGCCATCCATTACTCAGAGAGGGTGAGGCCTTCCATGGGGGATCATCAAAGTCTGTCACATCCCCCATGTATCTAGGCTGAGAGAGTATTCCTCCATGGGGGAAAAAATGGTTATGTTTGCTTTTTTATTAAGGTCTTCTGTGTAGGCTGCCCTCTTAACTCATGATCCTCCTGCCTCAGTATCCTGAGTGCTGAGATCACAAGCGTGTACACCGTTGGACACCACTTAATCCCTGTGTATAAATGAACACTGTCAAATTTAAGGATTAAGCAATTGTACAAAATCATACTTACCTGGCAGGGTTGATAGCATCATCATGGAGGTGATTTTCCAAGGACAAGCCTTCTCCATTTAATTCGAGATTTGCCAACCCCTGAAATGTCCCCAAAATGTGCCAAATGTGGGGAACTGACTTTGTAATTTGTGTTAGTGGAATACTGAGTTCACATTTTCACCTAAAAAATATTGCACACACATACACAATGGTACACGATTATATAGCTAGTAAAAGAGGGTGTGGTCCAAGTGTGGCTTATGAGCTGGTGGTCTTTTTCAGATTACAACAACAGACAGTAGAGTGGTCCATCTACCAATGTTGTTAAAAAAAGGATGAAAACCCTGGGGGACAGTCTCAGTAGAAACACTGGGAAATACAAGCTGAGAACTTGAAGCATGCTAATGGCCTACAGCATGAAACAATTTAAAACTGCTTTACATATCTAAAAGGCTAAAAGGAAGTCATAAAAGGTCACTGAATGTGTTAAGTGTTATGCTGGAGAAAAGAGTTCAGGAACAATGAATGGGGAGTAGCTAGAAAAAAATATGGTTCAATACAAGGAACACTTAGCAAGGCTGTTTCAGCAGTGTGAGTTCACTATTTTTACAGATGTTCAACTGTGGGCTTGAGTTCAACACGGAGAGCAGATTCAAACAGCTGGCTTACACAGACGACCTTTAAGGCTCTTTACAACCTACAATTAAAGCTAGAAGATATGACTTCCTTTTCTGTAATTGGTGTGTTGGCACTGTTACAGCAAAACTCACTGAGCCTTATCTAGACAGTCCGTCATACAAAGACATGTCTAAGTTCTGGTTTTGTCCCCTTGTGTTTATCCTTCCACTTTTTTTTTTTTGCCACTTTTTAATTCTTTAATTTCATTTCACATTCCAATCATAGTTCTCCCTCCCATACCTCCTCCTGCTCCCCCTTTACCTCCCCACCCCCAGCCCACTCTCAGTCAACTCCTCCTTACAGGTAAGGGCTCCTATGAGGAGTCAACACAGTCTGGCACAATAGGTTGGAGCAGGGCCAGGCCCCTCTCTCATGGCATCCCACCATAGAGAATGGGCTCCCACAAGCTAGCTTATGTACCCGGTTTGTATCATGGTCCTACTGCCAGAGGCCCCTCAGCTAGTATTAGCTTCACAACTGTCTCCCACATACAGTGGGCCTAGTTCAGTTCCCTGGAGTCTCCACAGTTGTAAATCAAGAGTTGATGAGTTTCCACAAGCTTGGTTCAGCTGTCTCTGTAGATTCCTCCTCATGATTTTGACCTCCCTTGCTCCTATCCTTTCATTTTTAATTTTTCTTTGTCCCTTGAAAATAAATATGCCAAACCAAGCTTAGCCTCAACCTCATCAATACAGAAATAGCTCTGGAAAACTATTTGTCTGTTTTTAAGCCCTACATTATCCAGAAAAGTTAAATGGGGCATATAAGATATAGTACAGTGGATTGTACTAGGCACAATCAAGAAAAACTAAAAAGAGAGAAAAAGAGATGAAAAATGAGCTAATCTGTCAAAAAAACAACTACCAAACAACCCATAAACCCCTATTACATTAGGTCTTTCTAATGCTGGAGGGCAATGTTGATCTGTTGTATATGGAGCATTTGCTCGAAATAATCCTTTTGTTACACCTAAAAAACAGAAATTTCTTAATAGGTACTTTGTAACCAGTGATGTTTAGTGAATGTAATGAAGGGTGACTTTCTAAAATTAAGGTTACATAGAAATATATGTATGTAAAATACAAACAACTTGTGTAAAGATGTACAGCACTCAATTGGAAAAATATGTAATATTGTTTACTGTAACTTTTTTGTTATAATAATAATTCTTCATTGTATAGTAAAATTTGATTCTATATGTATGAGTACAATGCTATCCTTGATTTTTGTTAAATGGCTCCTTTGATGAATTAGAGATTATTTTTTGAGTTCTGAAAAGGTATTTTGCAACAGCCCTTCCCCATTTACAAAGAAACAACTTTAGATACAATGAACTAATGAAATTTCATCTCAATTATTAAGATTTTCTCTATTATTTTCTATAGCTTAGTCAAAGGGCCAGAAAGTCATTAGACCTCAAGGCAAATTTGACTTATAGCTTGATTTTATATAGTCCCTGTACAAATCACTTTATCTTTTTTTTATATTTTCAAAATTCTATAAAGAAAAAGCCAAAACAGAAAAATAAATGGATAATTATATAGACCCAGAGTAATTATTATTAGAAGGCTTACCTCTGGGACAAGCAACAAACCAACAAAAGATACATTCATTTTTAAGTGGTTTACTGATTTCCATAGTGTGAACACTCCTGCCATGACTGATTCAACCTGTCAGTGTGACTGTACTAAGCTTGGAGTATGAAGAAATGCATGGACGCACTGTTGCATAGTATTTGTGCCACACAGAACAAAGCGGTAAATAATGCTGAGGGCATAGACAGTAAAATATTGCAATATATTAGAAAATAGTGAAATTTTGAATCTTGACTATATTATAAATTTTATTTTAAAATAATATTTCATTTACTGGCATGTTAATATAATTAAGTTTTAGTAATAGCTATGTTAACCAACTGTGAAATTCTGAAAATTTTAATTTGGCCTTTGCAAATTTGTACAGGTCAAATCCAGCACACCACCCCAAAATGCATTTTCACGTACTTTCTGGTATCAGGGAGACCAGGTTATCATGCAAAGTGCAAACATGTTTTAAAACTATTATTTTCCTTCATGCTAGGAAATGGATCTTACCCAGGAAATAATTTAACACTGTTTCCCTTTGTCTTTGCAGTATGTTGGCAAGTTAGACATAATAGACCTTGTGTGCCTTACTGACCAAAATTCAACTGAAAAGAGTTGTGCAAAGTTCACTCTTGTTTTGCCTAAAGAGGAAGTGCACCTGAAGGTGAGTGAGGATGAGCAGCTCACAGATAGGCTTTACCTTTAACACCCAGTGATTGGAATGAAGGCGAATTATCAGAGGGGCTGAGTCTTACTTCATTAGCATTTCCTGCCCTTTGCCAAGGACTACACTGTTCTGAGCTACATTTTAGCAGAGCACATTCACTTGTTTAGTATATAAGCACAATGAAACTTTAGACTTCTAGACTTCTATCCTCTGACAAAGTCAGGGATCCCAGCTGGTGTTTTTCAAGGTTGTTCCTGGATTAGCCTAGTGAGCTAAGAAAAATTACCCAACAATTATAGTCATATCACAGAGAACGACTTGGAATTGGCCAAGATAATATTGGAGAGGAATATTGCTGGTTGACTTTGACAGCTGCGGTGTTTAGAATGAATCTGCATTTAAGCAAGCACACCACTTCATATAGAGATCTTAAATTAGTTTTACAGTCTACTCAAGAACCAGGGGTGTTTTATTCTATAGAATAAAATATTCCGAGGGAAAGGGAGAGGGACCTCGAACTGACTTGTGAAGCAACCTTGTTTCTTATCTAAACTTAAAATGGAAAAAAAAATTTTAAATAAAAAAAATAAAAAAAAAGAATAAAATATTCCTGTCAGTCGAAAAGAAGAAATTGATTTCATAGACATGAAAAGGTAAAACAAATTTAAAAACAGTAATAAGTTCATTTCAAACATTTCCACAGTAGGCAGAAAGCAGAAATATGAAGACAAGTGGTAGAAAAGTAATTGATTGTCCTTAAGATTACTTCAGGCTACTTTTTTTTTTTTTTTTGGAAACAAGGAAACAAATTGAAAACAGTCTGTATGGGAAATGTGGCTGTTATGTTTCTTTCCTGATTTCTCAAAAAGGCCAGATACAATTCAGTTTTGCTTTAGTGATATGGAACATTACCACAGGTGGCTCCATTTTTATTTCTAGTGCAGACCATGAAGGACCTTAATGCAGAAGCCTGGAAACAATGGCCACCTATAATATTTCTTTGACATGATTAAGCAGGTAATACCAGTAGAATGCTTAGCACAGTAACTGAATTATATGTACTCAAAAGAAATTGGTTGGTATTATCATTATTAGCAAAGTAATAGCCTTTGATGCTAAGAATTGGATTTTTTACATTGATTTTCCCAAATTTCAAGCAAGTCAATGGAGACAGCAGGCATTAAGTAGCATACTGTAGAAGCAAATTCATTAACCTTTCATCTTTTTTTTTCAGTAAAGCATAAATTTGTACAATTGTGCTTTTTTAGTAAGCAAATAGAGGTATACATTGCAGCTTTGTTTAAAAAATTGTGTGTGTGCATATGGTTTTGTGTGTGAACGCATGTACATGTGTGCCATAGTGCATGTGTTGCACAGTGAGTGTGTGTGGAGGTTAAAGAACAATCTTCGGTCCTCCTTCTCCACCCTATTTGTGACAGGATCACTTTGTTGTTCAATGCTGACAATGCCAGGTTAGCTGGAAAGATCTTCTAGAGCTTATCCTGTCTATAGGTATACTTCGGTTATGTATCTCACCGTGCCTGACTTTATGTGACTTCATTGAACCTCCCCGCTCCCAATCATTTATATTTCTGTTTACCTATAAAAAAAGGGAGTGAAGCATTTTGTGATAAATATATGTTAATAATTCTAAACAAAAAGGAAAATGAATTATTTCTCCTTGCAGCTGATTTTATAGTTTAAACTTTTCAAATGATCTTATTTAACTAAGTACCTAAACAGGAGAATATGTATTTTTTACCAGTCATGCTATTTTTTCTCTTTTTTTGAATATATATATTTGTGTGGTATATGTGCATGTGTGCATGGCTATTTGGATGTGCATGGGTATATATGTACGTGGGTGCATGTGCATGTGTGTGTTCATGTATGGGGTGGTCAGAAGATGACAGCATGAATTTTCTCATTCACTTCCATCTTATACATTGAAGCAACACCTCTCACAAGGACCCATAGCTTCCCAGTTTGGCTAATCAAGCTAGCCAGCTTGCTCTAGAGATCCTCTGTCTCCACTCCTAGACACAGGGATTACAGTTAAGCTGCCATGCTCACTTGTCATTTTATTTAGGTTCCAGAGATCTAAACTCTGATATTCACACTTCTGTGACAAATGCTTCACCCAAAGAACCATCTCCTTAGCCTGCAATTTTGTGAGCTTTTGATGGTACACCTATTTTGTCAGATTCATCATGTGAAATTTGTGTTACCAACTTTAAGTAATTGTGCACTTTCTGCTTTACCTTTGTTTTCACCTTTAGACAGAAAACACAGAAAGTGGGGAAGAATGGAGGGGCTTCATTCTTACAGTAACAGAGGTAAGAAGGCCATTCATTTCTTCTGTTGAACAACGTATAATAGCCCATGGCGGCCTCAAACTTAAGATCCACCTGTCTCAACCTCCCAAGTGATGAGATTACCATAATGAGTCACATTTCCAGCAGAAGAGCATCACAGCCTGTAGATTCATTTATTTGTTAAATACTTGTTAACATCACCACAACTATGAACGTTAAAGCGGTCGAGGATACAAAAATGAGAAAAGGGCTGGGCACTGGTGTCACATGCCTTTAATCCCAGCTTCGGGGTAGGGCGCAAGAGGCAGGTGGATCTCTGTGAGTACGAGGTTTGAAGCCACCCTGGTCTACAGAACAGTGCCAGGATAGGCTCCAAAGCTACACAGAGAAACCCTGTCTCAAAAACAAACAATACAGAGAAACCCTGTCTCCTAAAACCAAAACACACAAACAAACAAACAAACAAACAAACAAAAGGCAGATAGAAATCCACGCTTTTGTTTCTGAAAGTTACATTTTCATCAGGTGGGTTGAGAAGGCTAAAGACACTCAGTAAACACCCAAGCCCATTTCTCCTTGAGATAACTGTTCTGAAGTGACACTGGTGAGCCAGGATAATAAGGGAGACCCACTTTTGTCTTCATTTTGCTTTTTACTGTACACCTTAGGCCTCATGGCTAAGCCCTACTGCCTTACCTTTTTCATTGTGTATGCTGAAATTTGTAGTTTATTGTAAAATAATCTCCAATATTTCTCTTTTAAATTTATAAAATGCTGTGCTGCACTGGTTTTGTGAATGAAAAAAACATCATGAAAGACAGAAACCATCAAAAATGAAAAATCCCCTTTAAACACTCGTTACATCTATCTTAAAACAGAATGATGCTTATCAGCTCAATGACAGAATCTTATCAGAGGCAACTAGTAAGGCTCATTGCTTAGCATGAACTATGACAACAAGATAAAGTACCATTAGTTTGAATAAAGCCACAGTAGCAACCGTCTTCCAAACACAAGATACTTTGATAACCAGAACGATGCTAACTGAAAGTGCCATGTTCTTTAAAACTTATAGAACAAATGAAAGGTTTCCAGGTTAGGGGAAAATGCCCAGTGAGTTTCTGAACAAAGTCTTTGCAGTCATAAAATAAGCTGGACTCTTGGTGAAGACATTGGGTATTGGTTCTTTAGATCATCCTGTTCCAGGTAAAATGAGTAGAGGTTCAACAGCCAGATAGGGTGTCCCTGTGTGGCCTGAAAGCAGGGTTTTCAATACGTGAAGGACATACTCATGGGGTTGGAGAGGAGACCACTCGGAGAATTGTGCTTTTCTCCCTCTGTTACAGAAAGGTCCTGCAGGCTGCCATGGGTATCTGTAAGTACCCCAACGGTATGCGTCTAGGAATAAACACTGAACCCATTGGAAAAATCTAGGCACCTCTTCTTTTTTTTTTTTATTTTCCTTGAGTGCTTTATTTATTTATTTTATTATTATTTATTTTTAAGTTTAAATTTAGATTAGAAACAAGGTTGCTTCACAAATCAGTTCCAGGCCCCTCTCCATTTCCCTCCCCTCCTCCCGTGCCCTCCCCCAACCCCCCATATCCCCTCATTTCCCCAGGGAGTGTGAGGCCCTCCATGGGGGTGTCCATAGTCTGTCATTTCATCCAGGGCAGGGCCTAGACCCTCTCCCAAGAGTTCAGGGTGAGAGTGCATCTCACATTGTTGGATAGGAGTCCAAAGTTCATGTGTATACTCCGGATAGATACTGATCTACTGCCCAAGGCTCAATAGATTACCTAGGCCTCCTCACTGACACACCTATTCAGGGGGTCTTGATCAGTCCCATGCTGGATTCCCAGGCTGATGCCTGGGATTCAAGAGTTAACCCTTGTCAGGTCAGCTGTTTCTGGGGGTTAAACCAGCCCAGCCTTAATCCCTTTGGTCATCAGTCCTCCCTCTCTGTTACTGGCTTTCTTGAGTTCAGCTCAGTGCTTAGCCATGGGAATCTGCCTTTTCTTCCATCAGCCACTGAATGAAGATTCTGTTTCCCAGACTCTCTGGCCATGGGATTGTAGGCTGGCACTCCCCAGATCTATGTCTAAAATCCATATATGAGAGAGTACATGCCCTGTTTCTCTTTTTGTGACTGCATTACCTCACTCAGGATGGTTTCTTCTAGTGTCATCCATTTTAGGCACCTCTTCTTGATACACTAATAATATTGGAAGTTTTGGCCATTTCATTTATATTTTTCCTATATTAAAGGTAAAAAGCAATGATTTTTAATTCAAACACTGACATATAACACATATATGTCATATGAATTTTCAAGTTAAGACACTGTCTATTATTTTATGCTCTATAAATATTTGAGGCATAATATCAAATCACTGTATGTGAATAAATCATTACTAAAGCCATTCCACTGTATTGACTATTCCTCCAAGACAGCATAACAAGGCACTACACTGGGGTATGAAAGCAGTAGGACATATTTGGGTGACTCAATCAAAAACACACTTCTAGAAAAAGTAGTAATAGCAAAACCAACTAATGTGTAATATTTTTAGATCTTTAGTCGAAGTGCTCATGTCACAGAGACTGCAGTAGACAGAGCGGCGACCTCATCGCTGAACCACAATAGCCTGATTTTGAGTCTTAACTTCACAGCTGACTAGCAATGGTTCTCAGGACTTTAACCTTTGAGTATATTTTCTGTTTTGTTGTTGCTGTTTTTGTTATTATAAAGTGCAAATAACAATATCTGCCTTGTAGGGTTGTTATGTCTTGATAACACTTGTGTAGTAATTGAGATACAATTGATAAGTCATAAGAATTAGCTAAAATGGAATATTAAAATAAGGAGTAATTGTTTTATTGGTTCCTCCTTATTGTTCTTTTTATTTTGCTTTGGCTATTTGTTAGAATAATGGGATTCATGTGAACATTTTTTGGTTGTGTACCCCTATCAGTAAATTATCTAAATTTCATGTTCGGATACACACGAATGCAAACAACAATATGGAAAAAATGAAACATTGACTAAGCATGAGACCGGGGCAAAGCTTTACTGGGTTAACTCCTTGCTGTCCTACCATTAGAACCTAAGCTGGGATCCCCAGCACTCATACAGAAGCCAGCATCTGTAACTCCAGTGCCGGGTAGGAAAACATAGGTTGATCCCTGGGGTTTGCTGACCAGCTGATCTAGTCAAACTAGAAAAATAATACTAATAATAACGATGTGAATTACAATAAAGGAAGGCATCTGATGCTGACCCGGAGCCTCTTCATACACATTTATGAGCAAGCCCACTCCCCATACATGCATAGCTATGCATACAACATGGAGAGAGAGAGAGAGAGAGAGAGAGATTGAAAGCTTTCTTCCTACACTCATGGATTCTCTTGTTTATCTCCTGGTGAGTATTCATGCTCCTCTGGTGGTCAAATTATAACCAGACATGGCATAGGTTGTTCCCAACTACATTTGAGATGTGACTACAATTCACAAGACTATATGCGGATAACTGAATTCAAAACACATTTCTAGGAAAAATAAAAACAAAACTAACATGCAGGGAAGTATCAAAACGCTAAAATATGAATGGATGCTATAAACGACAACAAAGTAAACCTGCTGATCCTATACCCATCTCAAACCCACGTTCGATAATAATGTGGAGTCTGCCTGGAGCTCCTAAGCTTCTTGGGCATCGCTAAGCTGGTGTATTCAGGATAAGAAATGAGAGACTGGTTGCTACTTAGCTCACAGTAAAAAAAGTATGTGTACTTTGTCCTGAGACCAAATCAAAACAGAAGGCCAGTCATGGTGGTGGCACACACCTTTAAACCCAACACCCGGGAAGCAGGACTGCTAGACATCTATAAGTCTGAGGACAACCTGGTGTACAGAGTGAGATCTAGGACAGCCAGGTCCACATAGAGGCACCCTGCCACAACAGACAACACACAAACAAGAAACAAAGCAGAAGACTTCTTAGAAGGCTTGATATTCCCTGCAGCTTCTAGTCAATAGAGGGGTAGTTCTAGGATGCCCACGTCAGACTGAAATCTTCCATTTATTATCGTATCCATTCATCTCTGACAAAGAAACTCTTCAGGGCCAACAAGCTCATCTTTACTAAAGCCAGGATGCTACTTAGCTGTGGTTTAAGTTTACCTACTGTTCTAACTGATTTCAGCTGTCAGTTCCTCAACACGTGTCTCTTCTACCTGGGCAAGTGATTAGACTACATGAAGTCTTAGAGAAAGAAAAGAAAAGAAGGCTTGAGACAGAACAGCTGCCGATTATGCCTGTGGAAAAAGAGGAGCCAGTACAAGATGATGTGGATATACCAAACCCTATGCCAGCGTAAGTGCACCATTGACTCATTTATTCATTCAGTTAAGACTAATTTCTAATTATCAGGTAGCATTGCCTATTGGACTTGTTACACCAGGGTTGCTAAGTATCTTGAGGGTAAATTGTATGTCTCTGAGCACCTGCCACATTTCCTCTCCTATGACAAGATTGACATCGTGCACATTTAAACTAACTCTTACCACAGAGGAAATCCCCTCCTACCCACACATCTAGACTAAATTTATATGTCTTTCCGGAGCTCAAACCCAAATTAAAGTTGCTATGAAGAAGGAAGGAAAAGGTGTGTGTGTCCTCATAATTGGATTATTTATCATCATTTACCAAATCTTTTTAAAGTCTTAGAATATTGTATTCAGTTGATTGATGAGTGAGCATTGAACTTGCCCTCCAAAGAAAGCCTTGTGTAAAGTGTTCAAAATAGTAATTGTACAGCATCTGGATGCTGAAACATCCCACACATGTCTTCTTTATTTCTGAAAATATTATGGGCCTTTTCCCCTGGAGATCATGATGCCCTTGTCATTAAAGTGTGTCTTGGCTCCATCTCTGACATGAGGTTCTGATGTGCAGTCTCCTGGAACCTGCTAATCAATGCTGTTATCTCAAGCTAGACAAGAGATCAACTCGCAGAATAAAAATCACATGGACTGCTTCTTTTTTCCCCCCAATACAAGAAGTAATGTGTTTATTACAGATAAATAAAGAGAAGAATAAAACTAATTCATGGCCTAACACTTGAAGAAGTCTGTCACTAACATTTTAGATATATCGTATACTCCATCAGATTTATACATAGCTATTATATTTCACTGAATGTAACATGTATTATAAAAACAGGAAGTGCTTAATTTCTTAATTTTGTGTCTAATAATACTAATGATGCCATTTTAACAAATTATAAACCAAGAGTGGTGGGCATGCCTTTAATCCCAGCACTCAAGAGGCAGGTACAGGCGGGTCTCCGAGTTCAAGGCCAACCTGGTCTACAGAGCCAGTTGCAAGACAGTTGGGGCTATTTGGTTATACGGAGAAACTCTGTTTCAAAATACCAAAGAAACAAAACCCCATAAACAACAAATTATACCAAATGGTATATCTGAACATGAACAGACATAGCCTTGATGTCAGTGGTTTAAAACAGAGTCCCACTAGGCTGTGGTGGTGTACACCTTTAATCCCAACACTGGGGAAAAAGAGGCAGGGGGAATCTCTGAGTTTAAGGCTAGAATAGTCTATATGGTAAGTTTCAAGAAATCCAGGGCTACATAAGGAGACCCTATCTCAAAACAAATAAACAGATTAACAACAAAATAGATTCCCAAAGAGAGTCCTAGACATTTTGGAGTCCTGAAAGGAAGACACCAACAAATTAATCTAAGACCCTGTTGTGAATTGAGACTGGGGATATGTTATTAGTTGTCAAAGATTTTCTGTGGTGATCATGATTATACATGGATTAGTAGATTGTTTTTCAAGTTCTCTTTGTTTAAAAGATAACTCTGTATCTCAAGGTGTTTAGGTAGCATTATTTTCAAGTAATGATCTTCATCAGTTTAAAACAAACAAACAAAACAAAACAAACTTTTTTTCATCTTACATTTGTAGATGTTTTTATGCAGTTTCCCGGAAAGAAGCAACTGCAATGCTGGAGAAGAATCCTTCTTGGGGAAATATGATCCTGAGGCCCGGGAGTGACAGTAAAAACTACTCCATCACTATCCGGCAGGAGATAGAGTATGCTTAATTCATCTGGCTAGCATACTGTGAAGAGCACAGTATTCCAGTCAGTACTTGTTACACATTCTGTTAGGGCTGCAAATATAAACACAAGCATGAGAAGCAGTGTGACATAAGCAAATCCTCCGTAGTGGTAATAAAGAGAACAGATCTAGGATTGCTATTGTTTTAAGAAACAGTGTTCACAAAGGCACTCAGTTAACTGACATTTAAGCAGAGATTCAAAGGAAGTGAGGGACGGAACCATGCCAGTGTGAGAACCTGAATTCAATCTCTGGAGCTCACATGAAAGGGAGAGAGAGGAGAAGGGAGGGAGGGAGGGAAGGAGGGGAGGAGACAGGCAGATCCTTGTGACTTGCTGGCCAGCCAGCCAAACCTACTTGGCAAGTTGCAGGCCAGTTAGAAACCTTGTCTGAAAAAGAATGTTGAGGGTATATGCAAGGTTAATCTCTGGAATCCACAAATAAGCGCACACATGTTCATGTGCAGCCACACACAAATATACACGCAAAATAATTTTATACATAATCAGAGTTGCTGGACCTTCTAAGGTCAATCTAACTTTCTCTATATTTTAATAGACATTCTGGTTTAGGTAACACTCACAACTGACCATATAGTTTAAAATTCAGAAGCTTTTGCCTACATTTAAATATTAGATAAGTGACTATGTCTTATAAAAAGCATAAATAGAACACTGATTTTTTAAAAAATTACTATTCTTTGCTAGGATCACATTCTATTTATTTACTATAATGCATCTACCAATAAATCTACCACTCTTTTCATAAATCTCTGTCATTCTAAATAGATTGAATATGAAGACAATAGTGGATAAACAGTAAAAAGTAAACATATCTTACAGAAAAAATAAAAATTAAAATCATGGTAGTATGGCTCAATTACTATTATGAGCCATGGACCTCAAGGCTTCATTTGCTTACCAGTTAATATAGATAGATCCTTGTCTTCACACAGTAGCCAAGAATAGGTGGCAAGAATGTTAGGTGACAAACTAGATCCTGGTGCTCCCAAATCTGTGTGAGTATCTGTGTGTATTTTTGTATTTCTCCACTGTTAGTATCTGTCAATCTTTTTGTAGATTCCTTATATTTCCTATTTATTATATGCTACCATTTTTTTAGCTTATAGCATATGCTATAATGACATATGCTTTTACAAGATGATCATTAGCAACAAATTTTCAATCCATTAGAATATAATAAAATATTATAGATTTTAAATTTACAATTTATTTTGGTTAATAATTTAGTAGGAGATCTCAAAACATGTCCAAAAGAAGTACAGGTTATAGCTTCCAGCTAATAGTTTTGTTTGTTTGCTTGTTTGGTTTTTTTTGCCAACACAGGTCTTTATTTCTTTTTCTCTTGAGATTATAATGTAATCACAACATTCTCTCTTCCCTTTTATCCTTCTAAAATCAGATACTGTTCTCCATTCTCCTTCAAATTCAAGGCCTCTTTTCCACCAATTGTTATTACATGCATATATATATATATGTCTGTGTGTTCCTAAGTATAACATATAAACACAACATAAATGTTCCTAATTGCTCTTGGGTGCACATATATGTATATACTGTTAAATGTAATCCATCCTATCTGTATAATGTTACTTGCATGCATGTTTTCAAGGCTGATTATTTGACACTGGACAAGCAAATGATGTGCTCTTCCCTGGGGAGGACCACTTCTCCTGTTCACAGATTTCCTCAGTTGATGATAACTCTCTGTGGTTGAGGCTTACTGGGTTCACCCCCTACCCCATACACTTGGAACGTCCATCAGTGATGTCCTTTTTCAGCTCTGGTTTGGGCAGTATTGAACCCTTGAAAAGCAGAAAATTCAACCCTGCTCTTGGGATTTAATATTTTCTACCTCATATGTCACTTGCTCTTTAGAGACTTCAGTCTGAGAGAGGATTAGAATTGTGTCTTGCTAGTAGAGTAGAGCTTAACGTAGAGCTTTTGGCAGGAATCTGGACTATTAAGAAACACCTGTGTTTCCACCAAACAAGCTCATTTTCTTTCAGAGAGGTCCCAGGACAGATGCTCAGCCATGCAAGTTAATGAGCGAGTCTGGTAAACACAAACGGGAAGGACAAACTGGTTTACAAAGCAGAACTTGAAAGTAATTTTCCCCCAGGTGTTTACAGATCAGCGAGTGGTAGGAAGGAAGGCTGCTCCCAAGAGTAAACAGAGTTTACCAGGCACCATCATCAGGTGACTCCTCTCAGAGCAGGGCATCATCTATCTTTAACCAGCCCAGTGGCACGTGAAGCATAAGATACAAAGCTATTTTTACAAAAACCTCACACTTCGTTTTGTTTTTCCTTGAAGTTGTTCTGACTAGATGCCATGCTAGCATTATAGTCATGGAAGTCATTATTGCCTAAGAAGGAAGTAGAAAATCTTTACCCTGAATTCATTCTTTTGCAAAACTTGAGATCAGAACCTAAGAAAACATAATTAGCGCTGCACTTAAAGCCAGTCTCTTCTTTATCTCTAAGGACTAGCTTCTCTTTTTGTGTCGCAGCTTAGGCTGACTTGTAATTCTCCTGGCTCAGCGTCTTAAGTGCTGGGATGACAGGTTTGTGCCACCACATCTCATTTTACTTTGGCTATTTTTGATACAACCACAAAGCTTTAAACAGAAAATTTGATCAATTTTGTTTTTTTCTTTGCAAACCAGAACAATACAAAAATTGGAAGAAAAGTACAGTCTAAAAAAAGACAAAGCCTACGAGACTTCAGGGCCACTGTTTTTGTTTGTTTGTTTGTTTGTTTGTTTGTTTGCATTACCTTTGACTTCAAAATATAGTTCCATTACTCAAAAGTCCCAAGGGCTTCTACTGACCTCCGTCTGCCTTCATCTCACCACGCCCCCATGAGTTTATTATAAAATGCGATGGCTATTACCAACAATCGCGGTACCCTTTGGGCATCTTGTGTTGAGTGCTACAGACATTTCCTACAGGCACAAAAGAATAATTGAGACAAATAGTATTGTCCATGCTTCACAAACTAGACTGGCAGAAAACAAGGCATATTATCTGTATATTAAATGTAGATAAATAAGTATAATTTAGTGAGTGCTTAATTATGTAAAGGACTGTACTAAGGGTCTTGCCAGTTGCCAGTATTAGCCCACAATAGCCCTCAGAGGTAAAGCTTTATCATCTCCATTATGTAGGTGAAAGTACTCATATGCTCTCTCTCTCTCTCTCTCTCTCTCTCTCTCTCTCTCTCTCTCTCTCTCTCTCTCTCTCTCTCTCTCTCGCACGCACGCACGCACACACGCGCGCACACACCACGGTGGGGGGTATTTAGAGAGCACATATGACAGAAACAGAATTTAAGTCAACTGTCTCATCAAGCTCCCAAAGGGTAGCAGTCATTGAGTCAACTGTATCATCAAAATGAGGTCAACCATGTATTTCCTTTTAGAATGCCAAGAATCAAGCACTACAAAGTGATGAACACTGCAAAGAACTACACCATTGAATTGGAGAAACCGGTACGTAGCCAGTACTTCGCGTTAATACACTTCCTCTTGTTGCCGTCCAAACCTTCCTTTTTAGACTGCAGGGAAAAGTGGGAAAACAGAAGTCTTCCTCAGCAACAGACACAGGGATGTAAAAGGGCGATGAGCACCTCTAGGTAAGATGGGAAGGCTGAGAGTCTGGCAAGACCAGGCAGGTGAGATGGACTAGAGAATAGTCTGCTTCTAAAAGCAGTTTCCCTTTACTGTCTCTGCACGATTCTTCATGGAAATTGTTTCAGAGAAAGCAAAATGTTTTTATGCAGTGTCTGTATAATATCTACCCTCTATTTACAAATATTCAAATGAGCCTATGTCTGAAGGGAAGCAATCTGAGTGTCTTGTCCTCTAATACCTACCAAAGAAGATCACAATGCCCTCTTAACAGCAGTGAACTAGAAGGCCCTGCTTCTTCTTTGTCTTCAACCCCTCTTCAAGCTTAGTTATTATATCATGGAGCCAATGATAGGCAGACTTATCCTCCACACAAAGCCTGTCACACAGCCGATTAATTTACATGTGTAATTTAATCTGTCCTATTTCCATGAGGTAGATATTGTTATGCTTATCATACAGGGGAGTAAGCTGACATTTAGACTAGTCTCAACCATTGAAAATGTGGTGATGTGGCCTGTGTTTCTTTAAAATTAGCTCCTAGTTCCTATGCCTCTTCAGGTGCATTTTTTTGTATTTATTTATTTATTTCCCTATTTTTTATTTAAAATAGAAACAAGATTACTTTACTTGTCAATCCCAGTTCCCTCTCCCTCTCCTCCTCCCTTGCCCCCCACTAACTCCCTATCCCATCCCCTTTCTGTTCCCCAGGTAGGGTGAGGCCTTCCATGGGGGATCTTCAAAGTCTGTATTATCCTTTGGAGAAGGGCCTAGGCCCTCCCTCATGTGTCTAGGCTGAGAGAGTGTCCCTCCATGTGGAATGGGCTCCCAAAGTTCATTTGTATGCTAGGGATAAATACTGATCTACTACCAGAGGCCCCATAGAGTGCCTAGGTCTCTTCACTGACACCCAGGTTCAGGGGGTTTGGATCAGTCCTATGCTGGTTTCCCAGCTATCAGTCTGGGGTCCATGGCTCCCCCTGTGGGTTTTACCAGTCAGATCTTGACTCCTTTGCTCATCACTCCTCTTTGCAACTGGGTTACAGGAGTTCAGTTCAGTGTTTAGTTGTGGGTGTCTTCCCCTGCTTCCATCAGCCACTGGATGAGGGTTCTAGGATGGCATATAAGGTAGTCATCAATCTCATTATCAGGGGAGGGCATTTAAGGTAGCCTCGATGCCAGTGGATGTCATTCTTGTAGATTTCTGAAAATCTAACTAGTGCTAGATCTCTCCTCAAACCTATAATGGCTCCCTCTATTATGGTATCTCTCATCCTGCTTTCCTCTACTCTTACCCTGACTCAACCTCCCTTCCATGTACTCCTCTCTCCTCCTCTTCTCCCCCTCTCTTTCTCCCATCTCCCTCTTCACTCCCTTCCCTCAATGCTCCCAAGCCCCTCAGGAGATCCTGTCCCATTCCCCTTCTCTGGGTTACCATGCATGTCTGTCTTAGGGTCCTTCCTGTTTCTCAGACTCCCTGGTGGTAGGACTGTAGGCTGGCAATCCCCTGTTCCATGTCTAAGATCCATGTATGAGTGAGTACATACCATGTTTGTCTTTTTGTGACTGGGTTACCTCACTCAGGATAGTTTCCTCTAGTGTCATCCATTTGCCTGTAAATTTCAAGATTCCATTTTTTCCCTGCTGAGTAATACTCCATTGTGTAAATGTACCACATTTTCTGTATCCACTCTACAGTTGAGGGGCATCTAGGTTACTTCCAGGTTCTGGCTGTTACAAATAATGCTGCTACGAACATAGTGGAACAGACATCCTTATTGTATGAATGCACATTTTTTGGATATATGCCTAAGAGTGGAATTTCTCGATTTTGTGGTAGACTTGATTTCCATTTTACCGAGGAATCTCCATACCGATCTCCAAAATGCCTGTACAAGTTGGCACTGGCACCAGCAGTGAAGCTATTATGATATTTCTTTTTTTTTGGGGGGGTTTCGAGACAGGATTTCTCTGCATTGTTTTGGAGCCTGTCCTGGAACTCGCTCTGTAGACCAGGCTGGTCTCGAACTCACAGTGATCCGCCTGTCTCTGCCTCCCAAGTGCTGGGATTAAAGGCGTGCGCCACCAATGCCCGGCGTATGATATTTCTTATCTTGCTCTCCTCTATTCTTCCCCTGACTCGATCTTCCTGCTCCCTCATGTCCTCCTTTCCCCTCTTCCTCTCCCTTCCTCTTTCTCCTAGCTCCCTCTTCCCTCCTTCTGTGCTCCCAATTAGCTCAGGAGATATTGTCTCTTTCCCCTTCACTGGGGCACCATACATGTCTCTCTCTCTTAGGGCCCTCCTTGTTTCCTAGCTTCTCTGGCGGTGTGAATTGTAGCCTGTTACTCCTTTGCTCTATGTCTAAAATCCATATATGAGTGAGTATATACCATGTTTGTCTTTTTGTGACTGGGTTACCTTGTTCAGGATGGTTTCTTCTAGTTCCATCCATTTGTCTCCAGGTGCATTGTATAGCAATGCATAGTTAGAATTTATAATGTTTTGACTGTAAGTCTCAGAGAGACACTGCACACAGCTCACTTTAGTGAAAAATGTCTCCAGAACGTCTCATATTCACATGTCTATGGACCCAATCATGTATCTCAGCCCATTATAAACTCAAGATCTTCTTGATTCTGTCTCCCAAATGCTGGGACAATAGGTGTGCACCAATCAGGCCTGGCTCCAACTAAGTTTGGTAAGCTAAGTTCTAACAAAGCAGGTAGAGGTCTAAATTGCTGAAGGAGCATCCATAAATCTAAGTGGCAAAAGTGGTTCCAGCGAGGAACAATCTAGCTCCTGCACCTTTGTAAGTGGAGTCCTGTACTCCTTGTGGTTAGCCTGCACAGTCCACATTAGAAAGAGAATGAATAGTCTGGGTAGTCCTTTCACCTTTCAAACTCCTCAGTTTTCTTGTCCTTCATAATTTTAATTTTTTAAAAATATAATTTTTTAACTTTATTTTATGTGCATTGGTATGAAGGTATCAGATCTACTGGAACTGGAGTTACAGACAGTTGTGAGCTGTCATGTGAGTGCTGGGAATTGAACCTGGGTCCTCTGGAAGAGCAGTCAGTGCTCTTAACCACTGAGCCATCTCTCCAGCCCCCCTAATTTTAATTTTTTTTTTTTGTTTTTTTCGAGACAGGGTTTCTCTGTATTGTTTTGGAGGCTATCCTGGAACTCACTCTGTAGACCAGGCTGGCCTCGAACTCACAGAGATCCGACTGCCTCTGCCTCCCGAGTGCTGGGATTAAAGGCGTGCACCACCAACGCCCGGCCCCCTAATTTTAATTTTAATGAGTTATTTCACACCAAGATTATTTGAGATAATCAGGTATACTAAGATTTAACTTGCATAAAATTATTGATGGGGTAGAGAGATTTTAGTGACCCCCAGACCCTAAATTACTCTGTTACAATGAAGAATTAAAATGCTTCTATTCTCTGGTTTCAAACAGAGGAAACCTATTATGCCCAATTTAGGAAAAAATATTATCAGCCCATAGAAGGTTCTTATTGTACACATTTTGAAGGCTAGTAAATCTTAGGGACTAGGAAACAGTTGGTTATGAGTTGTCACTTTTTCTTATTTGCCCAATTTCAGGAGGAGAGAAATTGGCCTAAATTTAGTCATTTTTCTGTTTTATTTGCTGGAAGGCAAAGTACCTAAATATCATTCACCAAACTGTACACAATACTAAGGGAGCATTTCCTCACCAAAGAATGTCCACATAGTCCTTAAAAAGGAGAAAAATGATAGACATGGCTAAGAAAGTCATGGTGTTCAGCAAGTCATTGAAGTATATGATGCCTACATGTCCTGACTGGAGGTCAGGAGATAAACAACAATCCCCACTCTACTGCAGGGGAGCATCTCCTGTCTATGTTTAGCCAGACTCTGAGCCATCTCTCATTTTCTTTTACACAGGTAACACTCCCAAACCTTTTCAGCGTCATTGATTATTTTGTGAAGGAGACTCGAGGGAATCTGAGACCATTTATACCTTCAACTGACGACAACCTTGGTATGTCCTTCATTTTACTCTTACATCAAACAAAATCAAACCCCGAATATGCCAAGGTTTACATTTTTAAGAATCAAAACTCTCCATTAGGCAATCATGTTTTCCAGAGTCTGGGAGGAAAGAGCATCTTCCTCCAGGTAGTGTATGCATGCATTGTGATTATTAACGCCATTCCATCATTCTATTTGATTTCATCAAACAAGCTCAGGCACAACAGAAAAGCAAAACAGTATAGACTCGTGGGAAGCAAATAGGAAATGAAGCCCACAACAGTGTCAGAGGCTTGAAACTGGGAGAATGCATTAGAGTGAGCAAAGGCTGTGGGGATTGGTCACTTGGTAGCAAATTACCTTGATATAGTGCTATTCTGCTGTGAAGGTAAGGAAGTCAGATGGCAAGGTCATAGGAGTGACGAGGTGATAAGGAGCTACTGACGAAAATTACAGTCGGGGTCAGCTTCAAAATTGGTGGGCTCCTTTTTTTTTTAATAAACAAAGAACTTTAAAACAGTGGTAGGTAGTAGTTCATTAAACTGAGCAATGAAACCTGTGTCAACAGTATAGTTTACACGTTCATTAAATTGGTTCCATCTGCATTCTAGTTTCCACTGAGTGAAGCAGGCAGACTGAACCATATTGCCCAGTTCTGTCTAACAGTCTACATGTGGTCACTGGGCAAGCTCTAAGCAAAAGAGATTAAGTGTCTCCATCTATCTTGGGTTTCATTCTTCAAAGACAGTTTCTTTTCCTACATGTTATAAAGGAAGACAACTTGGTCTACCTACACCAGGGGCAGATCTGAAAAGTTTCACTAATTACAACAACAGCAGGTTTAAGTCTAAGTTCTTAAAATATCACTGTTTATCTTTGGATGCTACGTAACAACACAAAAAATACAAGAGTCTGCAGGAGTTTTAGAAATGATCAAGTGCAATCTCTGCCTGTGCAGAGGAAGTATCTCTAAGATGTGATTACACAGCTTGCTTGGCAAGTTCTGTTATGGCGTTCTCTTGAAGCATACTTTTATTAATACAGCTCTGTGATGAATTAGTATAGCCTGAAACGAAGAACTCCAGGTGGCCAATGACTACTGAGGGAGGGAGAACCAGTGTTCTTCAGGGAGAAGCTTGCACACATGTTGTCCATTCTTTTTTTTATATCATTTTTTATTTTAATTTTAAATAGCTTGTTTTACATGTCAATCCCAGTTCCCTCTCCCTCCCCTCCTCCCGCACTCCCCTTCCCCCCCACCCTCCCACCCTATTGCCAAATCCTTCCACATAGGGGATATCTAGAGTCTGTCATTTTACTCTGGGTAGGGTCCAGGCACTCCCCTAAGAATCCAGGCTGAGAGAGCATCCCTCTTTGTGCTATAGGCACACGAAAACTGTTTGTATGCCAGGGATAAACACTGATCCACAGCTCAGGGCCCCATAGGTTGCCCAGGCCTTCTCACTGACACTCACATTTGGGGGGTCCAGATCAGGCCCATGCTGGCCTCCCCACTGTCGGTCTGGGGTCCAAGAGCTCTCCCCTGTTCAGATCAGCTGTCTCTGCTGGTTTTGCCAGCCCATTCTTTGCCAATTTGCTCATCACTCCTCTCTCTCTGTCACTGGGTTCCTTGGGTTCAGTTCAGTGTTTAACTGTGGGAGTTTGCCTCTGCTTCTATCAGTACTTGGATGAAGGCTCCCGGATGGTTATAGGCTTCAAGTTCATTATCAGGAATGGGCATTCGAGGTGGTCTCTCCACTATTGCTTAGCTTGCCAATTGGTGTTATCCCTTTAGATCACTCGAGGTCGCTCTGGTGTCTGATCTGTATTCGATCCTATGATTCCCTCTTCCCCCTATTCTACCCCCACTCCCTCAACTTCCTGTTTCCCCATGACCAACTGTCCATTCTTAAGTGTCCAGCTCTGAACACATGTACATACTAGCAAAGGTAAATGAACTCAGTAAGTTATATATCAGTAAACATACACACATATACATATGGATGTACATGTAGCAATATTAAAGAAAAATCATGAATTATGGAGAGGCACACAGAGTTGGAAAGAATCTTTCTAAAAAAAAACCACTAAAATATAAATAATTTCTTTCTCCCATGTAGTAAAATATATCCAGAACCTGGCCTCCCTACTTTAGCTCATACAAGGTAGATTCAGAAGTATGTTTCAGCCTTTCATACTTACATTTAGCTGCATTTTTATTTCAAAATTACTTGAATATTTATAAAATTTTAGTGCCAAATAAAAATTTCCATTTGGAACAACAGAAGATGTCTCTGGGGTCTGTGTGCACAAGGAGCTTCTTGGTATGCTCAGAATCTGTGCCACAGCTGATACAACACTAGGCGGTGCTGTTTCCCAGTTCTTCCTCTAGGATGTCTCTCGCTGTACTAAGGATCAGTGTTTCTTCTAGGTAAAACAAGAGCCTTGAGAGCTTAGCCAGTGCTGTCCTGCTGTCCTTCCTGAGAGCTAGGGGCTGTGCCTCTTCAAACAAGTTAAAGAAGAAAACATGCAGAAGCAATTCCCACGCTCAGTTCTCTGACACAATTTTCTTCGTTTATATGGACAGAAAGGATTTTCTTTGAGGTGTTAGAACCAGGAAAGAAAACAGACAACAGAAAAAGATAACTGAAAATGGACTGCTGGCTTAAACATTAAATGGTTTTAAAAACAGACCACCAGATTATGATTGCTGTGTGACTGAACTGGGTTGGTTTGCTTTGTGATCAAGAGTATTACTCAACACCCTTGTATTGGATTCTTTTGTTACCAGGGTTATTGACTGACAGGGAGCCTTTTCAAACCAGAAGAGCTTCTGGAGAGTAGCATGTTTATGTTTTCAAAAGCAGAAAGAGAAGGAAAATAGTATTTCCTGAAAAAAAGCCTTGACCCCAAACGCTAAATGCTAGATTTGAAGAAAACTTTGTGAACCTGGTGCTTGATTCTGGGACATGGACTTGCTTATTGGGGCAGAGTGTGAATGCCAGAGCACTTAGTTTAATTTACCTTGAGTTAGAAATTAGAGTTGTAGGGTACTTGATGGATCAGGGATCTGGAGATATGGAACTAGTTAATGTGTACACATAGGATTCTAATGAAAAGAACCCAGAATCTTCTCTGACCCTTGCTTGGTAACCTGTGTTAGTATCCAATGTTCTCTTTGATACCAAGAGGCAAGAGCAGCAATAGAGAATAGACAAGAGATATTCTCTCAATTTATTTTCTCAAGGTCAGAAAATACCAGCTTAAAAGTCATTTCAAAATATAGCACAGAAGGTATATAGAACATTAAACTCAAGCCTAAGAAAATACATGACATGTTAGGTCCAGGCTACAAAAATATTGAAAGAAATATGGATATTCCGCACCTAATTGTGCAAAACTTACTGACACACCACCAGTGTTTTGGGAACAGACAAGAAAAACAACTGCTGCTGCAAGTAGAGAAAAACTTGGTCCTATAGTATTGCTTCCTTAACTCATCAACACCTCCCACCTGTAATTTCCAGGTCAAGAGCCCAACACAGAAGAAAGAAGTGAGAAGCTTAAGAAAAATCCACACTAGGCATGGAATAACATGAAAACTGCCTCCAGATATCTTGGTATTTATTGTCTTCCAAAGGCTTTCACTTTTAAAGATAATTACCTCTATTTCCCTGTCCCTAGTTTCCAAATCACTTGTTTGGGCACAAGAATAAAACGTGATAGCACATAATTTCATTGTTTTATCAGCAGGAAACCAATTTGCTAGTTACTAGCAGCGGTCTGTAGAGTAACTTGATACATTCATTTCTCTGTATTAAGTGGAAAAATTTACTTTCTAAAGTCAGATCTTTGTTTCTCCTTGTCTTCAATTAAATACATTTCAAATATACAATTTCCACAGCAGATTATCTAGGTCCCCTAAATTCTACTTATCTTCTAAACTGTAACTAGGTTTTTTTTTTTGGTAAAATCTGATTGGATCAACTAATTAAGTGTAAGGTTTTTTTTATTATCTAGTTGGTGGTCACAGACATGGAATGAATCGGGAAATGTCTGTCTGGTAGAAATGCTATATGCCACATATTAACGTTTATGGAACTAAATGTAATTCATTTTTATGTTCTTCCTTGACACTATATTTCTACTAGTTCAAATCTAATCCATGTATCATTAAAGGATGACAAAATAAACACCTTGTCTCAAATTTCATGCTATACATGCTCATTATGGTGATTCATTTCTTTAAAACTACAGACCCTTCTATCCACACTAGATCTTTTTGAATACAATCTTAGTTAAAGTATGATTCTTCTTTGAAAACAAACTCGTAAGTTGGGCTTTTTTTTCTATTTTTTAAATTTAAATTAGAAACAAGATTGTTTTACATGTCAATCCCAGTTCCCTCTCCCTCGCCTCTCCTCTGCCCCCCCCCCACCTCCCTATCCCATCCCGTTTCTGCTCCCCAGGGAGGGTGAGGCTTTCCATGGGGTAATCTTCAAAGTCTGTCATATCCTTTGGAGCAGAGCCTAGATCCTCCCCCGCGTGTCTAGGCTGAGAGAGTATCCCTCTGTGTGGCTCCTAAAGTCCATTTGTATGCTAGCGATACATACTGATCTCCCGAGGCCCCATAGATTTCCTAGGCCTCGTCACTGACACCCAGGTTCAGGGGATCTTGATCAGTCCTATGCTGGTTTCCAAGCTATCAGTCTGGGATCCATGACCTCCCCTTTGTTCAGGACAGCTGTTTCTGTGGTTTCACTAGCCTGGTCTTGATCCCTTTGCTCATCACTCCTCCATCTCTGCAATTGTATTCTAGGACTTCAGTTCAGTGTTTAGCTGTGGGTGTTTTTTTTTTTTTCTTGTTTGTCTTGTTTATTTGTTTGTTTTTTGCTTTTGGACAGCATTTCTCTGTGTAGCCATGGTTGTCCTGGAACTCACTCTGTAGACAAGGTTAGCCTCAAACTCACAGAGATTTTATCATGACAAAATTCAAGAGTTATGTAATTCAAAATGAAATGATTTGGTGTATATCCTACTCAAGGTTCAAATTATTTGAATATTTAGCTTGCTTTTCTCACTCAAAAATGGGTAGAATGGTTCTCTTAGTTCCAACATGTTATAAAGATGCTAAGGAGAAATTAGGACACAGAGCAAAGGCTTTATGAGACTAAGGGAGAAGATAAACGCTTTTGTTCACAAAAAGGACCCTATGGAGGAATACAAATCAACCAGACATTTAAAGACTTCCAGCCTCAAAACTATGAGAAAATATTGTGTGTGTGTGTGGTGTGTGTGTGTCTTAAGCCATATATTTGTTATGGAGCTCTAGTAAACTAATTTAATGAGCTATCTTCCAAACCTCCCTTCAACTTGATGAACTAGAATTTCTGAGGGTTGGTCCACAAATTTGCCCTTTTAGTATATGCCACAGGTAATTACTACACAAAATAAAATTTGAGATTATCTTAAATTTCTGTGTAGGAATATATGCAAAATAAAGTAAGGCTGCCATCTTTTAAATGGAGAATTAGTGTTAATGAGAGGTCTTAGATCTGGGGCTTAAGGTGAGTAATATTTACAGAATTTAATAATGAACACATAGCATCGTGTTAGTTCATGCATCAAATAAGGCTAAGAAAAAGAGACTGATGGACTTTAACTTAACATCTGAAACTGTTAAGTCAATCATTCCTCTAAGAAAATACAGTGCTTAAAATCTAAAAGCTTGTCTTTTTATTTAAATTAGAAACAAGCTTGTTTCACATGTCAATCCCAGTTCCCTCTCCCGCCCCTCTTCCCCCTCCTACCCCTGCTCCCTTCAGTCCCTTTAAGCCCCCCTACCCAATGCCCACTCCACTCTCCAGGGAGGGTAAGGCCCTTCATGGGGGGATCTCCAAAGTCTGTCATATAATCCAGGGCAGGGCCTAGACCCTCCCCCCATGTGTCCAGGCTGAGACAGCATCCCTCCACATGGAATGGGCTCCCAAAGTCCATTTGTATGCCAGGGATAAATACTGATCTATTGCCTGAGGCCCCAAAGAATGCCAATGCCTCCTCATTGACACCTACCTTCAGGGGGTCTGGATCAGTTCCATGCTGGCCTCTCAGCTATCAGTCAGGGGTCCATGAGCTCCCCCTTGCTCAGGTCAACTGTTTCTGTGGGTTTCTCCAGCCTAGTCTTGACTCCTTTGCTCATCACTCCTCCCTCTCTGCAACTGGTTTCCAGGAGTTCAGTTCAGTGTTTAGCTTTGAGTGTCTGCCTCTGCATCCTTCGGCCACTGGATGAAGGCTCTAGGATGGCATACAAGGTAGTCATCAATCACATTATTAGGGAAGGGCATTTAAGGTAGTCTCTCCACTATTGGTTAGATTCCCAGTTGGTGTCATCATTGTAGGTCTCTGGAAATCTCACTAGTGCCAGATCTCTCTTCAAACCTATAATGACTCCATTATGGTATCTCTCATCCTGCTCTCCTCTATTCTTCAAGCAGGCACTCCCTTGTTTCTTGCCTAAAATCCATACATGAGTGAGTACATACCATGCTTGACTTTTTGTGACAGGGTTACCTCACTCAGGATGGTTTCTTCTAGTGCCACCCATTTGTCTGCAAATTTCAAGATTCCATTGTTTTTTTTTTCCTGCTGAGTAGTACTCCATTGTGTAAATGTATCACATTTTCTCTATCCACTCTTCAGTTGAGGGACATCTAGGTTGCTTCCAGGTTCTGGCTATTACAAATAATGCTGCTGTGAACATAATGGAGCAGATTTGCCCTTGTTGTATGAATTTGCCTCATTTGGATATATGCCTAAGAGTGGAATTGCTGGGTCTAGTGGTAGATTAATTCCCATTTTCCTGAGGAATCTCCATACTGATTTCCAAAGAGGCTGTATGAGTCGGCACTCCCACCAGCAGTGGAGGAGTGTTCCCCTCTCTCCACATCCTCTCCAGCATAAATTGTCTTCGGTGTTTTTGATTTTAGCCATTCTGACAGGAGTTAAGATGGTATCTCAGAGTTTTATGAGGGGACTTTTCTTTGTGGTTCACTCTATTTTGTGTTCTGTTGAATTCTTGTACTTTCATTGGCATGTCTTTCTTTAGGTTGGGAAAGTTTTCTTTGATTTTGTTAAATATGTTTTCTGCACCTTTGAACTGGGTTTCTTCACCTTCTACCCCTATTATTCTTAGATTTGGCCTTTCCACAGTGTTCCATATTTCCTGGATATTTTATGTTAGGGATTTGTTGGATTTTCTCTGATCAATGAATCTATTTCTCCTAGTGAGTCTTCAATGCCTGAGATTCTCTCGTCTAACTCCTGTCGTCTGTTGGTTATGCTTGCATCTGCAGTTCCTGATCGTTTACTTACCTTTTCTAATTCAATCATTCCTTCAGATTATGGTTTTTTATTGTCTCTATTTCAGCTTTCAAACCTTGCACTGTTTGAATTGTTTCTTGTAATTTTTGGTTTGTCTTGTTTTCCATTTCTTTAAAGGATTTTCTCATTTCTTCTTTTAATGAAGTTGTTTGTAAGGTCATTCTCTTCTGCTTCATCTGTGTTGTGATGTTCATATCTTGCTGGTGTTCAATCCCTAGACTCTGGTGGCATCACATTGTTTTTTCTGTCATTGAATTTGTTCTTATATTGTCATCTTCCCATCCCTTCTTTCAGTGGGTACAGGTGGGGGTCTCTTCCTTTCCTGGTGGATACAAGTCCAATACACTAACGGGTCTTATGGTGGGTGCAGACAGGTCTGAGGTACTCCCTCTCCTGGTGGGAGGTCTGTCCTCTCAGCAAGCTCCTGGTTGCTTGGTCCTTGGGGGTGAGTCTCCTGGCTGAAGTCTCCAGGCCAGGAGATCCCAGAGAGCTAGTCTTTTTTTTTTTTTTAAAGATTTTATTTATTTCAATGTGCATTGGTGTTTTGTCTGTACATGTATCTGTGTGAGGGTGCCAGATCTGCTGGAACTGGATTACAGTTTTGAGTTGCCATGTGGGTGCTGGGAATTGAACTTTCGAAGAGCAGCCCATGCTCTTAACTGCTGAACATCATCTCTCCAGCCCAGAATAAATACTTTCAAAGTGCTAATGGACATGAAAAAGATTAAAGAAATTACATGGGTACATAAAATAGAAACAATGACTACTGTCCTATAGAATTCAGAGATGGTAGTATACAATGACAGAACTAACATATATAAAAGAAATGTGTGATGCAATGCTAAGTTGGAGAAACAAAGTCCATACCTGTATTAAAGAACTCTAAAACTTAACCACTGTCGTGGATTTGGCAGGCCAATACAGGAAGGAATGACTATGAAGTCTAGGCCTAGGTTCATTTTAAAAGCTTTTTGCTCACATGTCTGATACCTGAGGGTGTTAACAGCCTCAATTTTTCATGTGGGCTACTATGGTTTTCTCCATAAACTGTATTCTAAGAGTAAGTTTTGCCAGGGAAATGGTATGCAACAGAATGACAGCAAGCTAGTAAGGGTTCTTTGACCCAATCATAGTAGTCTTAAATAGGCCTGGGAATGCTAACTTTCTACATTTGGGGAATATGTAGTCTTCCAACAGGTAATGTTAAGGTTAGTTTCATTTTATACAAGTAGACAGAATTTAGTACAGCAAAAAACACTAGGCAAGAGAAAATAATGCATATCCTTTAAGAAAACAGAAACCATGTTTTATTTTAATAGAGAATTTAACATAAAAACTGGTAAACATATTTTGGGAGAAATGGAAATGTCCACATAAAACACAACTACAAACAGGAGGGTTAGACCATTATAGAGGCTGGGAGAAATGCTCTGCAGGATGGCAGAGAACAACTACAGCCTGACAATCACCACCAAATCCAAGCAACTGTGGTATATACTAGGTAAACATCTAAAAATTAGACTATGCAAAGGCTCAAACTAAGTGGATGGGAAAATTATTCCATGAGAACACTGATCAAAAACCCCAAGAAGGCTAAAGATAAGACTCTAAGGCACAACGAGATAATTAACATTGATAAGATATAATTCAGCAGGAAATATAACAAGCTAAATTTACAGTCTTAAGTCACTGTTCTATAGCTGTGAAGAGACATCATGAGCAAAGCAACTTTTATGAAAGAAGCATTTTATTGGGGGCTTGCTTACAGTTTCAGAAGCTTAGTCTATTATTATCATCAGGTGGGGAGCATGGGGGCTGGCACGGCACTGGAGAAGTA